TCAGTAGTTGTGGCTCACGGGCCCAGCTGCTCCACGGCACGTGGGATCCTCCCAGACCAGGGCTCGAACCTCTGTCCCCCGCACTGGCAGGCGGACTCTCAACCACTGCACCACCAGGGAAGCCCTCTCCCTCATTTTTGACGGGCAATTTTGCTAGATATAGAATTTTGGGTTGACAGTTTTTTTTTCTTTAGCACTTTAAATATATAATCTCAGTGCCTTCTGGTCTTCAATCCACTGTTAATCGTATTAAGAATTTCACCTGATGAGTCAGTTTTCTCTTGCTGCTTTTAAGATGCTCTCTTTGTCTTTGTCATCTGTAGTTTGATTGTAATGTCTCTCTGTGGGTGTCTGGGTTTTTCTGCTTGGAGTTCATTGACCCTCTTGTATTTGTCTCTCCATGCTTTTCCCCAAATTTGAGAAGTTTTTAGCCATTATTACGTCAGATAAGTTCTATGCTCCATTTTCTCTCTTTTTTCTCCTTCTGATAGTCCCATAATGTGTATATTGGTCTATTTGATTGTGCCCCATAAGTTTCTTAGGCTCTGTTCATTTTTCTTCTTGTATTTTTCTTTTTGCTCTTCTGACTCAATAATTTTAGATGACTTGTCTTCAAGTGTACTGATTCTTTCTTCTGCCTACTGAAGTCTGCTGTTGAGTCCCTTTGTGAAGTTTTCAATTCAGTTATTGTATTTCTCAGCTCCAAAATTTCTGTTTGGTTCTTTTTATAATTTGTATCTCTTTGTTGATATTCTCATTTTGTGCATATATTATTTTCCTGATTTGCTTTAGTTCTTTGTGTTTTCCTTTAGCTTTTTCAGTGTATTTAAGACAGTCATTTAAAAATCTTTGTCTAGTAACTGCAGCCTATGTCTCTTTAGGGTCAGTTTCTGGAGATTCATGTTGTTACTTTGAATAGGCTGCTTCTCTTTTTCTTTGTAGACCTTGTGATCTGTTGTTAAAAATTGGATATTAAAAAAAAATAGCCTCCTCTCTCAGTCTTTGCGGCCTGGCTCCATGCAGGGAAAGACCTTCAATAATCAGTTCAGTACGAAAACTTAAGGTCTTCTCTGGCATGTGTCTTTCCTGGTCGTGTCCATGTGTTTTTTTTTTGTTTTTTTTTTCTAGTTTTGGCTGCTTTTTAACATTTTAACTTTCTTAAAAGTCTACTTCTTCTGGGGACTTAAATATTCTATTCTTTCTTTGTCTGTAGTCTCTAATCCCTAGGTAACCACAGGTCTACAGTTTCCACACACTGTGACATCTGCCACTGTTTTCAGATACCTCCAATATGCCATCATACCCATCTGAGCTCCAAGTCAGTCAAGACAGAAACCAGTGCCTAAGGCCGCCTCCAGACAAGCTAGAACGTTGCACACAAGTTTCAATCTTTTTCATCTATCCCAGGGGAGGGGCTGGGAATTGGGTGGTTTCCTCTGACTACACTGTACCACATCAGAGGGCAGGTAGTGCAAGAATAAGCAAAAACACCACAAAATTTCTTACCATTTTGGTTATGACTTTTTATTGTTTGGGCATTTGTTGGTTGCTGTGGATTTGTGACTCTTTTCTAAATTCCTACAAAGCTGCCTTAGTCTGTTGTCTACTTGATGTTTTTGTGAGGGAAAAAGGCCCTGGAGCTTCCAAGACTGACTTCTTGCACCTCTTGAGGTACCTTAATTTAAAAAATAATTTCCCCAAATATTCAGGTATTAAATTATTTTCTTTTATTTTGTTGTAATAATAATAACAGTAATTTTATTGAGCACCTACTATATGCCAGACACTGTTATACACACTTGACCTTTTAAAATAATTAATTTGAACTTTACTACATTCTAGGTAGTATTATTATACCCTTTTCATAGGTGAGAAAACTGAGGCACAGAGAGTAACCTACTGTCCATGTGGAACTGAGACAGACACATGGGGAATAAAATTGTAAGTCTTCAATAAGTAACATGAAGGCTCTTCATGGTTTTATGTGACTTAAGACGAGGGGGTTACAGTAGACCAGAAGACGTTGGCTGGATCACACCTCCCCCCAACTTCTCTTGGCGCTTATAAATGCTTTAAAATGGGATCTCAGACCTTGAGCTACACTCACAGTGGAATGTGACTGTGGTAGTGGATTGGCCACATTAGTGCCCCTTTCCTTTGAATCAGGAAATAACATGTAGCATATGGTCCTAACCAGGAAGGCAAGAGAGGTCCAAACCCAGCCCTGTGGTGGGTGAATAATCAAGGGGATGAAGTGAAGTGGAGTTTCAGAGAGATGACAGACTTAACCCGTCGTGCAGCCAACGTCTTCACACAGACCTGTGGCCTCCAGGAGGGAGACCATCTAGCCTTGATTCTGCCTCGAGTGCCTGAGTGGTGGCTGGTGATCGTGGCCTGCATCCGAACAGGTCAGTGACCCAAGCAGACCTTTGGGCTCACCTAGAGCCAGTTTGTCCTGAAATATTAGGTGCTTTCTCTTCCCCCCAATTTTTCTTCTTCACAGTCTTTCTTTTTCTCAGACTCACTCAAATATTATTTTACTCCTTCTCATCCACTCTCTCCCTTGTACTCACACCCTCTCAAACACAATGTCAGAATTCTCTCTCTCTCTCTCACACACACACACACTTTCTCTTACACAGTCTCAGACATTCTTGCTTCTTTATAAGATTCATCAATTGTTAACGTTTTGCCATATTCGAGCCCTCTCTCCCGGTGAGTCATTTAAGAATCAGTTGCAGACACTGTGACACCCATAAACACCAGATAAACACTGCAGCATGCATCTGCTAAGATCCAAGACATTTCCTTCACATAACCACAGTAGAGTTACCACACAAGAAGTTTAACACTGATGCAATAGAGTTACCTGATATACATCCATCGTCAAAATTCCTCGATTGTCCCAATAATGTCCTTTATAGCATTTATTTGGTGTAAATCAAAAATCCAGTGCATTGCATTTAGTTGTTATATCTCCCCCGTCTCCTTTAATCTAGAACGTTTCTCTACGTTCTACACTGTCTACATGACGATGACAATTTTGAAGCGTCTAAGCCAGTTGTTTTGCAGAAGGTCCATCAAACTTTGTATTTCTGACTCCTTCATGATTATCATCAGGTTAGACATTTTGAGCCCAGGTACTAGAAGGGCAATATTGTGTCTTCCTTGGAGCATCACATTGGGGATATATATAAAGTTGGTTTGCCCTGATATCATTGATATTGTTTTATCACTTTAGAAAGGTAGTGTCCACCTTTGTAAAGGTACCTTTTCCTTTTGTAGTTAGTAAGTAATCTGTCGTGTAATATTTATGGGACTGTGTGAATATCCTGTTCCCCAGCTGTCTTTCACCTTATGGTTTGCCAATCCACTGATGATTCTTGACTGAATTGAACATTTTAATGGTGGTCTTTTATTAGGATTTTCTATTTATATCATTCCCTCTACATTTATTAGTTGGCATTCTTCTATAGAGATTTTCCTTTCCCTTTTAATTGCTTATCTATGCATTAATCTATATAATCAGTATGGGACTCATGGACTCTTTTTCGAATCACTTCAGTTGTTCTATAATGCATGCTCATACAACGATATGTCGTGCTCTTGGTCACATATTCTCTGTCTCATGTTTTCTCACAAATAGTTGATTAATCCATCAAGATCAAGAATTAACAGCAGTGGCTGAGGGAGTATAGAGAAGCCATGCCATCTGTATAGTGAAGAGATGGTCCATGAGAAACCCAAGACATGACTTGAGACCTCTGGGATAAGAAGAATTAAAGAGGAGTAGAAGCAAAGGACGGAAATTCCAAGGATGGTCATAGCACATGGAAATGCTTAGAGTCAGGAGTAGCCTATCCGAAGAATGGTCATCTTGAAATAGAGAATAGAGTTGTGCGAGAGAAAGATGGAGAGTGAGCAGTGCCCTGAGAGTCAGGATGGGGAGTGTGGTGTTTTCCTGGAGACAGGGTCCAGGTGTTAGTGGGGAGAAGAAATGTGGAGGGGAAAAAGTCAGTGCTCTGTGGAACTAAGCAGGCTAATAATACGGAAGGTGGGTAGTAGGAAGATTCAGGACAGGGCATCTGGTGGAGAAATTAGAATGCAATAGGGGCACACAAAGACTTGAGCTAATTGTTGGTGACGGAAGATGGAAGGGAAAGTAGAAAAGTTCAAAGGACCTTGTAGTTAACTTTGGGTATGACGAACGAAGGAAAGAGAGGAAATTTAAGATGACGCAAGGAACAACAACAGATGACCAGAGATTCACGATGACAGGAGGAAGTGAGAGGAGAAAAATGGGGGCAGGGAGGCAGAGTCAGGGACACTGTCCCATATCCTGTGTAAATTTTTATAAAGAAGGACTCACCTGTCTACTGGCTAGATCCATTTAGAGCAGAAATTATTAGGGCAGGCTTTTCAAATTTTAGTGTGCATAGAAATCCCTTGGAGATCTTGTTAAAATGCAGATTCTGCTTCAGTAAGTTTGGGGTGGGTTGTGAGATTCTGTGTCTTAGGCGGTGTTGATGCTGTGGACCATCCTTTGCATACCAAGAAGTTAGGGGATTTCTTTGCAGATAAACCAGATCTGACAGCCAAGGTTGTGAGGCTGTGAAAGAGATACCAGAACAGGCAGTTTCTTTCTCATCCCTAGGGATCGTCTTCATGCCAGGGACCACCCAGATGAAGGCCAAGGACATTCTCTACCGACTACAAGTGTCTAAAGCCAAGGGCATCGTGACCACAGATACCCTTGCCCCAGAGGTGGATTCTGTCGCTTCTGAGTGTCCTGCTCTGAAAACCAAGCTCCTGGTGTCTGACCACAGCCGTAAAGGGTGGCTGGACTTCCGATCACTGATTAAGTGAGTTTCTGGTCTGATGAATGTGCTTTCTGAGGAATGGCAGGAGAAAGCCACTCACTGCCTAGTGCTGGTACAGAAGCAGCCAGTGGGAGGAAGCTCACCAGGTGTGAGCTTCTCTTCACAGCTATGTCACTGACCTGCTGTGCAGCCTTGGGCTAGTTCCTTCTCCTCCCTTGGCTGCAATTGTTTTATGTACAAAATGAGGAAATTGAACTTCTGTGGCTCTCTCACTAAAATATAATCACCCCTGTGCAGAGGAGATGTGTAAAGTCAGAGGGTTATTGTGTTGCATATTCCTTGTAGGTGGGGAATCTGAAGTATTATTTTTATGTAAATAATTAACAATTAAAGAAGCTGAACAAAAGGTTCAGATGAGTTTTTCTTTTCTTTCTTTTTTTTTTTTTTTGGGGGGCGGGG